AAAGCATAGACCGCATGTGACACTTTTCGATGTCGAGCTTCATCAGTTGATTACACCGCAGTGGTATCGTTTCTCTCCTTCCGTGTAGGTAATTTTTTGTCTTTTGTTTACTGTTTAAACAGCGCCTTCCTGTTTTTACTTGGATCCATTAAAATGTACTTACTCAAATACTTATACGGCTTCTAAAGAATGGTCATGCAAGTGTATGCTGCAAAAAGTGTAATTGTCGCATTTTTGTTTGATCTTCTCCCTTTGCTGGTGGGCCAGAAAGTATTCCAAAAAAGCGCAGCAGGTTATGCTATTTATCTACCAAGATATCCACAACTAAACAACAGAAATTCGCTACTACATAACAAGGAGGTAATATCTAATCTCAATCCCAAACTTAACTTTCCAAGCGACTGTATTGCAGTCGCAAGAAAAATTCTAGTTTGATATTTTTTATATTTTTTTGGATGTTACATGATATGAAAATCACGAAAAACCAAGTCACTTATTTCTGAGGGTTTGTCTGTCTCTCGGTTCCCTAATCGTTAATCCCTCCAAAACTTGGAAAGTATTGCTCGGATTTTTTTAAATTTGAACACAAAATTACTGCTATACTTGACGTTTTGTAGTGAAGTTTTTTTGACATTCCAGAGGCTAGGTGATAATCACTGGTTGTTATAAGGTATGGGACAGAGTATATCTCAATTTTAGGATATGGTATATCGTTACCACCGAGGGTACTCTTAATTTTTTCAAATAGCAAACAAAAACACACGAAAATATCATTTTTTATTTCAATAAGTGTTCAAAATGTTTCCCGTTATTGGCCAAACAATGATATAGGCGATGTTCAAATTCCAGACGGACATTTTCAAAAACATGGGATATGGGCAGCTTTCGATGATGCGTTGACGTCCATCTAAAGGGATAACCCTGGCGGGCAGAGAGTGAGAGGAGGTGAAGTAGTTTTTGGTCAAAAAGTTGTCCCCTTGACAAATCTTTTGACGTGTCTCGGCGTTTTTTCTCTTAATCAGTTTTGATAAATCCGTGGTGGGAAGTTTTCGAATCATCGCCGTGTATATTTCAAGCATCATATGTTTTCCTGCACACTTGCCGTTGACACACGAAACATAGCAAAACAAGCGCGTCGCGTATCGGTCGTACGGCAACGCCACGAACATGCCTCTGTGCACAAGACGCTGTGTGGTGGTCCCATGCTTGACCGCTTACCTCTCACCGCTGGCGCTGGCGTGGCTTAACAACGTTGCCAGACGGTTAATACTGTCGGCACGGACGGGGAGAAATTCCTAGGTTGCAGCGTTATCAAATGGGTGGGGACTATGGACTCATCGAATGGGCCTGCTTCACCGAGTGAATTTTTCTGGTACACCTGCCCGTGGCTTACTTTCTTAGAGGGTCTTTCTCATACTTTATAAACTAATGACAGCGTTGCATGGGAGATGCAGAGTCAACCTACTTGACGTCATTTTTCATATAAGGGATTAGTGACCCTCAAACGTTTTCTACACTACACCTAGGTGCCTAACTCACAAATTGAAATGAATTCTGGCAAGCTTCAACTCGCAACATGTGGTATTCCCCAGGGAACAGTTTTAGGACCGATTCTGTTCAATCTTCATATTAATGATGAACCTATCTCTCTAAAGAGCCAAGGTGAAGTTGTAGGTTTTACCGATGATCCGGCTGTATTTTATAGTGACAAAACTGGGCATTGCTCATTGAAGCAGATTTTGGAACAATTGTCAATTTTTTCAATGATAAAATCTTGACCACAAATCTTGAAAGAACATTATATACGAGTATATCTTTTTCTTGCGATGAGAGATATTCCTAGCCATTTACAAACAGTTACGTGAAAATACCATCTAGTTCTACAACAGTTGAAATGATATCAGCTCAGAAACTCATTACGGACTATCATCTTAAATGAGATCAAAAAATGGAAAGCTCGGCAAAACGTTTGAGGTGTCTTATTCCCAAATTTAGGTTCTTTAAAGATAATGAAGAATAAATATGCATCCTATACAATGCGTTGGTACAACCACTCTTATCGTATGGATTATTAGCATGCGGATCGGTTTCAAACGTGTATTATAAAAAAATGAGGTGGTTCAAAAACGTATTATCAAGTTAGTAATCAACAAACATGCTTTATATCCTAGCAATGATCTGTATAAAGAGTCGCAATTACTGGACTGCAGACAACTATATTGTGAGAAACTATTGGTATACTTCATAAAGAATAATACCTTATGACTCCAGTCAAAGACGATAACCATACAAGGCATAAGGATATATGTATATATGTTACCGGCAATCTGTATAATTCAGGGATTCTATACAATACCTCGGCAATGTATAGAATACCTGGGTAGCCCAGGAAGTGTATGAAATATTATGAATATTATCCATTACATACTTTACCTAGGTAATGAATTCAATTCCTAGGGATTGTATAGAGTACCTGCTGTTCCACCAGCATTGTATAAAATAAATAGATATTGGTCTAAATTTATCAATGTTAACCATACCTATAAAAGTTATATTATGTAAAATCAACTTCTTTGAAATCAACAATTAGAATGCTCCTTAAAAATATTATATATATATATGTATATATATAGACAGCAGATTTCTACAAATGTAGATGTGACCTGGTACTGAATTTTTTCAACAAATTTTGTTTCGACGGAATATCAATGTTTTGTGTCCATGGGGCAAAACTTGCCCTACAAAGTTCAAACGAATTTTCTCGCTAGATGTTCATATACATATGTGTTGTATAGTGCTTAATTAAAGTACATGATAATAGACTATCTCATTTATTTACTTCAACTAAAATTATCTAAATTCCAGCAAAGATTAAAATTTATGCAGTCTATTTAATCTCATCATTCCTGCTGCTTTATTATTTGCTGAATCCTATTTTATTCAATTATAATAATATTAAATTTACGAAATCATATGACAAAATGCGCAGAGTTCCAAATACATAGCTTGCCTATATTTAACTACGTCAATACGAGTACGTACATAACGGCTTACTTTTTAATGAACTTTGGACATGAAATTCTATCGCAAAGGTGATAAAACATAATACCTGCACAAATGATTAATGATAATACTGGGTGTGAAATAACCCTCGCAATGCACTTTGCATGATTCAGAAAAGTGTTACCTAAGCTACATAGCTTGTCATGCCCATACGGTTAAATTGGCCATTTCATGAAATGTAGTGTCAACTATTGGCCAACTATCAATTATAAAAAATCTTTAACGATATGATCGGCTCATGAAGACTAGAGAAAGAGGTGAAACTTGTGGACTGACGGTGAAGCCAAAATGTCGATGATGGCATGAATCCGTACACTGAGCAGCAAACGAATTTCAGGTGCCGCGGATGTGGTATATCTATTGCTCTCATCATGACTGTAAACAACTTCAATTTTGATCATTCAGACAAGTTGCAAGCAGATATATTGGATAATATTAATAAACCACGAAGTAATACACCTACATGCAAGAGCAGGGCAAAGTATGAGCGAAATGCACACACAGATTGCGGCCGGTTATGTTAAATTTTCTTGACACGCCAACCGCATTTCCTAGAGCTACACCGTCCTTGGCGACAGGATTGGCTTCATACTAATACATGTATCCCTTACGTAGTTTAACCTCCTACCTCTAGTCTTCACGGATGAAGCTTTTTTGGGGTGACACCCACCCGGTGACCCAACTTTAAGAACAATTTACAAACATAAAAGAAAATTATTCCTCCACAAGTACTAGCTCAGACCTCTATGTATAATTCGGGGATTCCCCCAAAAGCGCACGACGCTGTCGTGCGGGATTCCCCTTCCCACAGTCGCGACCTTGACGTTTCAGTTGAACTCCAGACAAGATCGAAGTTTCTTCAAGACCTAGCTTCATTGTTCGAGATCGTACAAACAAATACTTTGCTTTTGCCGGATACTGAAGAACTGAAATAAGCTACATCCAAATTTACTGATTTTTATGATGAGGTCTCAGAAACAGAATCACTTTTGGAGATACCAAGACGGCGAAGACCCTTAAAGTTTATTTAGAATGAAATTTTACAGAATCTGTTGCAAATATTATAATTGCACTAAAGTTGTTCATGACTGCGTGTCCGTAGCTTCATATAAAAGGAGTTTCGGAAACTATAATTGATAAAAAACTATTTGTAATCAACAATGACCCAATCGCGGCTTAGCAAGCTTGCTATATTAGCAAATATACATTTTGATGAAGTTATTTCTGAGTTTGCAGCTGTCAAAGCTAGCAAGAAGATTTTAATTTTAAGATAAAAATATTTTTTATGTCCTAGTTTTTATTGTTTTGTTATTTGTTCAATATTTTATATATAAATATTAAATGATGCATGGCGTTTATAAATCATATAAAATTGATTGCTTTTGACAGTTAATGGGGTGACACCACCAACTTCCGCACCGGGTGCCACTCAAGGTAGCTACGCCACTGGTAGGCGGGGAGGAGACAAACACCCCGACACCTACTGCTAGAGCTCTAGGTTATTGCCAAATAAAGATGCGTAATTAATTCCACCAAACTCTTTATGTTTTAGTCCATCCGACATCCTGTTAAGATACTTTCTCATGTGGCAAGAAGACAACAGTGTGACACGCTTTCGACGTTGCTTTCGTGATTCTCGGCTGGAGTCGAGAGCGAAAAGCAGTTCGATGAGGGTCGTGGACTGTTCACGCAGTCACGATTCAGGTCATTTCGTGAAGCCGACCAGCGCTATCTAAGAAGATTGGAAACATGAGGGTAAGCTGCCCAAGACTATTAGTATCAAACCCCCTAATAACATTTTGCGGAAAATTCTCAGGTACTCTACTGGATATAACCTACTATGAAACGATTCTGTTATTCATTAGGTCATTATCAATGGGATTAGAGAAAAAGTATTATTTCTCTTGGGGTGATACTACAAAATACATCCACAAATTTTTGCGAGTGAAAAAATTTATTTATAACAAAAAAATATAAATAACATGTATAAAAATCTAAGCTTTTCACTTGCCGAAATAGTTGCATTATAAAAATGGTACTAAAACTAACATAATATAGGCACTAAGTGCGAAAGATAAATTGGATTCAGTGTTGGAGTCTTATCCTAATAGCTAAAACCGGAAATAAATAATCGGTATGAACTACAAATTTTGCCACGGTATCAGCTACTTCTCCAGTCTATCAAATAAGAATTTACACCATAGCAAATAAATACCTCATCTTCATCAATCTAATTCACTGTTATCTCAACATCAAACTCAAAGTTTAAACCTTCAATGGACTCCACACGAATTTTGAAACAAACACAACAATAAAAATTATCTTCATATATTAGATTATACGTACTAAAAAGCACTCAATGGTTAACAGCGGTTGTACCTAAGGTCCTCATTACTTCGTAGCAGTCTTGTAGCTTCTTCTTATCCCCGATTCGCTCCAACGTCTTTGCAGCTTCCACTAGCATTCCCGCTCGCTCACCAGGTGAAGAGAGCAACGGGCCAGGTAAATGCTTGCAGGCCATATATAATGCTGAAGCATGCTGTCGTTCTCCGCCCATATCTTGGTTGTTCTTGTCTCCTATACAGAAAAAGTCAAGTAAGTTGACTCAGTTCTTCGTATTTGTATAAAACCGCTTTAACTAAGCTGAAATAAGCTTGGCTTTCTACTAACCACGAATAACCGGGACTAGTTGATTCGAGCTCACCGTAATGTATCTAAGAAAAACTCCAATAAGTCAGTTGTTTTGCAGTTTTTAGCATAATTCAAAAATGAAATGTTTATGGATGTTATATGACCGATAGTCCTTGACCCACCTATACATGGACGAAATGTTTATACGAGGTTACTACTATACCAAGGACGAAAAAGCTTGTAATTTTTTATAATCGGTCCAGTGGCGGCGAAGAACAAGGCCAAAAACGAAAAAAGAAAAAACCAATTACTAGAATTCTTAGATCTGGCAACGTCACAGTAAGCTACAATAAAAATATTTTCAGTAGCAATCTTAAGCACATGAAAAAGCATATGAAAAATGTTTCCATCTAACTCTACTTTGTTAGATTTTGAATATAAGTCGGTTGGGTATCACATGAATCTTTAGTTCTTCTTTAGTTTAGTAATTGATATAACAAATAAATAAAACTCGTTGTGTAAAAGTATGACAGTCTAACAGAGACTAACCTTTTCCGCATATTATCGATTGCTTGATATTCCTCTGCCTCAAACTTCTGTCCAGCAATTGTTGGGTCCTACCTGGTGCCGCACCAGCCATCATCCTGGCAGTAGCCTCATACAAAAATACCCTCGCCAATGCACTCTGGAAAAAAATAACCGGTCTACAAGTCTGTACCATAAAAACGGAATTTCTGGATTGATAGCACTTATAACGTCAATTACCCAACGTACCGGAATGTGTTCAGTCAGAATCCTCAATGATGATAAATCAGCTTGAAACGAGGACAGAACAGAGTTTGATACTGGGACCTTCGAATCACCTTCGACGCTGTCTTCCCACAGGGATGTTCTCGTTTCTAACAACCAATCACACACCATCAATTGAGCCAACTGTAACAACACAATGATATACAGAATTTGGTTAGAAACCATGTTTTTCACAAAGTACGCAATTATGGAAGGAGCAAGTGGAGCCTTCATAATGACGGAGACTGACTGTTGTGCCAAAAAATGAATGCTGCTGTCACCAATAACGAGAATAAAAAGGTGCAACATACCTAAGTTATCGTTCAATTAAATACCTGGATGTATGGCTGGACAAAGGCACAAATATGGTCAGACACATAAATCGCACAGTGGATAAGTAGGAGTAGTTGTGGGGAGGCGAAGCTTGGCAACTAGTCCACCTTTGAGACCTTTTTGCCGACCTCGTGGTACCATCACTGTACAACTCCACAAGATATCTACTATTTAGTAACAGATTATTGAATAAACCAGCTCGAACGAGCACTATCTGATGAATATTTTGTTTTTCTAACAAACTTTCTTGTTTAGGTTGTTTAGAATTTTTAATATGCTTGCGCATTCTAGCCACCAGTGGCACTATATCCATATTGCAGGTTAAACATTTTGCTCTTTTATTTATTTTCGTGCCAGCTTTCGCATCAGTCTCCTTAAAATATTTCCCCACGGGATCCTTTCTAATCCTTGTCATTGCCTTTCTTTTTTTGCCGATCTTTAATGCACAAAAACCAAAACACACCACCATGCTACGACTTCGCACATTTGACTACTGGAGATCGCAACGCGAAAAATTACCCAAAGGCAGATGGTACTTACAAGACGTCCGCACGGTAGCCGATGCCCGCTTTTAAATTAGAGGTGTGCTCTGATAGAGCTGGATCAAAAATACATAGTAATAACACTTTCAAGGAACTTCATTAACGTTGCTAGATTATATAGGCAATCGTTTGTTACTTTTTTTTTACTGTTTTACACATGTATTAACAGTGTTTTAAACATGTTTTTTTCAGCTAAATTTGAATGTTCTAAACAAGAAAACAAACAGTTTTAAACAAAAAAAAACATGATTTTTGTTTGTCTTAATCATGTTTTTTTTGAGCCCTGATATACCTTTGGTATAAATTCCTCCGCGTCGCTACCCACCATCGTAATGCATTTTCGTGATGACAGCATGAATGAGGAGTTTTAGTATGTCGTTTTTAGAAAATCTCACTTCAGGAAGAAGAGAAAGATACACAGAATCTATATAGCCTCGTCTGAGAGTGGCTATAAGAGCTTTTTCCTGTACAAAAAAACTCGTCCTTGAAACGACCACGACTTCTGCTGCAGGAATTTTCCTCTGGGATGCACTGAAGGAGCACTGCACCCGAAGCAAACATGCAATGCAACTACAATGCACCCCAGCGAAAAAAATACAAAATTAGTTTGACTATATTGTTTTACAATCGCTTCGCATGTTACGCCTCTTTCAGAAACGCCGAACACAACGGTAATTCCAAAAACATCACGAACACGAAAATGGTGTGAAATACGGACATATGCCGAAATTATGGTATAAGCATAGCGACTATACAGGGTGGCCTAAAAGTTGGGACTTTGCTTTTCAGGAACAACTACGTTTGAAATAACAAAGTTAATACCCAGTAAAACAGCACCGAAGACATAAAAAATAAATTTAAGAAAAATAGTCACTATTTATCTGGTATGGCATTTCAAGTTGTGGCTGTTCGATTCAAAAACACGGTTTTATTTACTTTCTAAATTTGCAACATTTTGGGCTGTCTAGGCCTTCTACTGTGTCCAGCCAGATGGCTTTTAGATGATATATATCTAGATCTTCCACTGTGCCCAGACGATATAAACAAACCTGCGCAGCTCTCATGGAAACATCGAGGACGACGGCGATGTTCTGAATACTCGAATACACTCGTGGAGTATCAATAGGATCTTGAAGACGCTCACAGTAAACTAACAACAAATGCTTCTGCTGTAGAAATGTGCCTATCCCGGTTTTCAGATGCGGTTTGTTCATAAGCTTGGTTAACCTACACAACACTGATTTCGAAACTGAATTACGTAGTCATCCCAAGTAGCACCGAATGGATTTATTAAGTGCTTCAAGGATTCATTAAAACTGTGAAATAAAACTGCAACTGAAACCAATTGGTCTTTAAATAAATCTTAAGGTTGTAATAAATTCGCCTGCAGCACAAAAGGGCACACGCTGAAAGCGGCCAATAAAACCAAAAATAAAAACGATCATAAAGCTTTAATATCTTGACCAACTTTTAAAGGTGCTATAGAGGTACTTATACAACAAGTATGAATACATTTCAAATACACGGGTTTCAAGTGAACTTCAAGGTGCTTATTGAATGTGTACTTTTAAGGTTAATTTACCTTATTGTTAACATGACAATTGTTCTTTAAAACGATAAACTCATGTGTTATTACATAAAAGAAGCATAAAGACAATAGCAGTCCAACACATTTTTACATGTATTTATCTGTAAATATAAATAATAAAAAGTTGTTGGTTATTTCGGACTGTGAAGGTAGAAAAATAGTTGCGCGTCAGACTTTATCGATAAGTGTTAACAAAAAAAATCTTAAAAACTGAGGCGCCTTGGCATTTCTGAAGTTTGATAAATAAAAAAAAGAACAAAAAAAATATTGGAAAAACAGAAAAATTTTTATCTATAAATCAAAATGCATTAATTAATATATCATCATTTTTATGTAAGCCTCATTATCCATCATGGCTTCCAAACGTGTCAAGAAAGCAAACAAAATGCGGCGTCAATTTTGAACATGAAATGAGAAGAGATGAGTTTAGTCTATTTGATTCTAAATAGAATTATAGTTAGTATATATAGTTAGAGTTCAGTTTTAATATAGATGGAAACAAATATTAACATTATTATGAACTATTTAGGAGTGGTGTCAGATATGTTGACATTTCACAAAGATTAAAAATGAACAAAGGGACGATTTCGAAAATTATTAGTAAATATCAAGAATACGGATCAACAGCAACGCGACCCAAGTGCGGAAGACCGAAAAAAACCGATTATGTTTTGGATCGCTACGTTAAACGTATGTCCCATGAAGATCCTCGAATGCCAGCCACACAGATTTTCAAAAGAATCGTAGGAGAGGGTGCCGAGAATCTTTCTGTCAGAACAGTACAAAGACGCTTGGTTCATTTAGGGCTTTTTGGTAAGCGTCCAGTTCAAAAGCCTCTCATTTAAAAAAAATCGTAATGCTCGGCTTGAATTTGCTAAAAATCATCTAACTTGGGCAGAACAACAATGATGTTCAGTTTTAAGATTCGACAAAAAATATCAGATGCCAACAGTTAAGCATGGTGGAGGCAACATCATAGTTTGGGGCTGTTTTTTTAGTGCTGGAACGGGTCCAATTGTTAAAATTGTTGAAAAAATGGATCAAAAACTTTACAAAGATATTCTTAGTAAACACATGCTCCCTTTTGCTAAAGAAGAAATGCCTTTACGATGGACATTCCAGCAAGATGACCCCAAGCAGACCTCAAAATTCGTAAAGGACTGGTCAAGTCTAAAAAATGTTAATGTTCTTACATGGCCATCGCAATCCTCGGACCTAAACCCTATAGAACATATAGGTCAGACAATTGACAAGAAAAACTTTTAATAATAGGAACAATTTATTTGACTATGTAAAAAATATTTGGCAAAATATCCCTTCTATGAGCAGCAGATGTCAGGCAGTGTTGAATGCTAAAGGCTATTCTACCAAATATTAGCTAAACAGTATTTTTTAAATCTTTTTGTAGAGTTATTGTATTTAATTTTATAATATAAATATGTTTCCATTCTTTTGTCGTCTCATTTTCGGTCATAAAATAATATGAAGGTATTTTAATACTAGTCTGAAGTACCACAGCAAACACAAATTTTCATTTGTATCCTGTATCCTCAAGACTGTAAGCAAACTATATGAGAAAAAAAATAGTCATTAATAATAAAGAACAAAATATTAGCGCACTTTTCAAAAATTACTAAGAATGTTTCCAAACTTTTGCCCGCTACTGTATGTGATACCAGGAAAACTCGCTTATTATTGCCTGACATACGCAAAGGAAAATCCCAACTTTGAGAATACCCTAAATAGTCGTTCTCGCTAGTTATGATAGAAACAGCATACTAAGCATAGCAATATCAGCTTATAAAAATATGGAGGACGACGAATAGATGTATGAAGTTGTAGTCACGTCTAAATCTATTTATAGATTAAACCTTCAAATGCAGTATTTAGCGAAACATTGAATCTTACCAAACTCAGGTGATCCTTTTTCTTGCAACTAGTCAACGTCAGACTATCAGATAGCAAATGGCTGGCGTAATCCAAATGATGAAGTATCTGCCTTGGTGTGGCATCGGATCCGTACGACAGATAGTTCTTCCTGGCTTTGAAAGCAGCTACTATAGCTTTAGGTAGAGGGTCATTTAGAGAAGCCAATGGTTCGGGGATCATCTCGATCTTTTTGTACATGCTCTCTGGACATTCCTCGCCCATCAGCCAATGACAAGCGATTGAGACAAATGTCATCCACCATCGAGCTACCGGATCTGCGTAGCCTTCAAAAAATAATAAGATCTTTTTTTAGTTTCTCAAGCAGATGAAGCAATGAAAAAAATGGCGTCAAGAAGGTTGACTACGCTTCCCATGCAACGCCGCCGATATCGGTTCATAAATGATTATGTTCAGCACAAACTTGACCCTCTCAGATAAGATTCAGTCGAACAGGACCATATAAAGAGTCCATAGACCTTCTTTCTCTGACCTACCGGTAGTCCATCAGGCAATTTCGCCTTTCCCCTATACCTAACCTGGTCAGACGTGGCACCGCGGCTACACTATGCTATGGCGCGGCAGTGATACCAGAAGCTTACTAGGACTGGCAGGACAGTTGAGAATACTTATTTTAAGGGCTAATGTAAAGCGAAATCGATGTCATGTCTGTGAAATATGTCAAATAGGTGCAAAGAAACAAGGTTGGGAGCGTATAAATATACTAAAATCAAAAAAGTGAGATATACGCTGCCCAACTCCCTACAACCCGCACCCCCAGCTGTTTTGCACCTAAGAATGTTTTTAAAAAAGCTCAGAACCCTTTGAAACGTCAAGAAATGAAGTTTGAGTGGTTTTTATCTTTTTTTTTTATGTTTGGCATTTTCCTCCGCGGCCTCTGTACGAGGGATGTCTTTTAAGTTTTCTTCCGTTAAATACTGCCTTGTTTTTTGGGCCGTGTGCGTTCGGGGTTGATTTTTCGAAGCTCGGTGATACACATGGTGGTATACCAATCCGCAGTAACAGTTCTTTGCTCATTAAGAGGAATTGTTGCAATATGACCCGCTTTTAACACAAATGTCGCGACCATCTTTTTTGAAACACTTCGAGAACGGATGACTTTTATTGGCTTTTCTTCACCTTGGAACACCCAAACAGCCGACTGTCGTTTATTTTCTAGTTAATAACAGTAAATCCACGATTCATCACCATTAACAATGCTGTACACATTTTTTTGAGTTTCTGGAATTGAAACGGTCAAGCGTTTTTTGACACCAATTAACCCTGGCTGCTTTCTGCTCTACAGTCAACAGGTGGGGTATCCAAAGAGAAACTAATTTTCTTACTCCTAATTCTTCATGTAAAATTTTTTGAATTGAGGTCTTTGAGATCTTCAAGGACGCGATATGTCACATGTCTACCTTCAATGATGAGTTTGCGCACAGCATCGACGTTTTCCACGTTTGAATTCTCCATACGAACGGGAAATTGTCGACTGATGTGGCGCTTCGTTGCCGAAAACAGACAGTAACTCAGCAAGGCATTTTTGTTGAGATAATTGTCTCTGAAAGTTGTAATAAATTATGGCGCGAAACTGTTCTCGGTTGAGTTCCATTTTTCTAATGACTTGGCGACACTTAAAAATTCAGTGTAGTGAGAACACTGCACGTATTGTTGTGAAACTTTGAATTTAAGTTTACTAGAGAGTGAGGTTAAGATTCAGTACCGACGTAAGTTCCGCGCGGCCTACTATATTTCTATATGCAAAACTTAAAAGACATCCCTCGTACCTGTTTTCAAAAACTACAAAGCTTTTTCATCATTGGCATTGTGGTAATATTGCGCAAAAATTTCATCAAAATCCGAGCGGTTCTTTTCAAGCTACATGCAGTTATTTGATTAGCGGACAAATCGAAAGATAGTCAGACAGACAGAAATAGGTGACATATTTTCGTGATGTACATGTCCAATAACATCCAAAAAACAAAATGTCTCGTTTTCTAAAACTTCCGCGATTACAGGACAGTGAAATCAATTGAACAAGATTATTGAGATAATATCCATTTTTATACATTTGAAAGAAAAGACTCACTTTGAACAGAGTTTGATCCAAAAACAGTTTTTGCGTCTACAGTAACATCATCTCTCAACAAATCCAAATAAATCAATGCATCAGCAATGCTGTCTGTTTTATTGTCGCTGCCATCGCTTTTGTAGCCTGGTGAAAGTATAATTTGCATTGCTGTTTCCAATAAATGTTCACGATACATCTGAAAGCGTAAAAGTTACAATTAATTCATAACATATATATATATATATATAATACAAAAATGTTGAAAACAATGAAAGGTTTGAAAATGGTCACTTAATGGTTTGGAGGTCAAGAAAATGATCTTAAATAGAAAACCCTACTTGTGGTATATGGAAGTCTGTACAAACTACAGATCAGAAATATCTACCTTTATTTGACTAGCTAATGGGTCCAAACTGTCTTTGATCATACTGAACGGTAAGCTACTGGACTTTACTGCTTCAGTGGATCTATTAGACAAGAAGAACTTGTATCCATATGGCGTGAAAAGCCACTGTAAACGTTTAGGAATGGGTTCACAGGAATTTGTGCAGGACAGCTGAGCCAAACCTAAATAGTACCTACAAAGATGAATATATCTCAAACCATTATAAGGTGTATCTTGGAAACTATATTACCTCTGCAATATCTGCAAGCAACTGGGTGCGCTTTCTTTGACTCTGAGCGCCATACCGACATAAATGTCGATCATTCCAACAGAATTAATCCTCCCTTTTGCTGCATCAGCAATGTTGAGAGCGTTCAAAGCTGTAATCAGTCCTAACATATGACATGTCTCCGCAGGTCCGCCCACCAGTTGAATTTTGTGCAAATCGTTGAATATTAGAGCCAGTTCTTTGCAGGAGGTCAAGCATTCGTAACGAGAATTACTGAAAGTAATTTCAAATTAAAAAATATGAGTTGTAAAATAAATCTAGCATCTATACTATAGGTCAGGGCTATCCAACATACGGCCCGCGAACTCCTTTCTTGCGGCCCGCTTCACGGGTCATGTATACATCACAAGTATAAATTACTCTCAAATACCGAATATGCATATACCTATTAAAACTCAGTAATAATGTTGTATAGAAAGATTTTATAATGCGGCCCTCCAAACTGCATTTTTTTTAAGTGGCCCTTGGGCCACGTTAGGTTGGACAGCCCTGCTATAGGTGATATCGTAATGTGATAGTATAATTGTCTGGATAATATTTTTCATATGTTCTCAGCACCAAGAGCACCAATATAACCCGAGCTGACGATGCCCTCGCATTAGGCAGAAGCAGCGACAGACAGCGGTACAGGGTCAGGCCAAAGAGTAGTTATATCAAAAACAACACTTTTGGGAATGCGTTTATAATTCGCAGGTTGGCCCCATTGACCTTGAAATCGTCTAAGTTAGAGTATGGAAGCCGATCGTAAATTTTAGCTTACTGACAAGATACGATAAAAACTAGTCAGTAAACCTGCTGTTTAGCATCAAAATACGTAAGATTTGACTAGCGTTTTACATTTCATATAAATACGCCAAGTCATCAAAACTTTGCGGTCGGCTCTTGGACTATTAGTGGTTTACAAATAAAAACAGCGATATATGTGCTTGGCTTGACGATTCGCTTATAAATGACTCTGCATGTACCGAAGCGGTGTTTCCGAGCTGCCATAAAATATTTATAAAATGCTACATTCATACTAAGCAGAATGGAGTTCAGCTCTATTCTGTTTTTGGTGGTTACTTCGAAAAGTCATACGAAATAAATAAACAGATCGTCTTAAGGCTAGGCTGTCTAGATAACATGTGAATAGAGCGACTATCTATTGGTCACGTAAGTAATTTGAGATAAATCTTTTGAATTTCAAGTTGACACACTCCTTTTATTAGTAAAACAAGTCATGCAGTATTCAGCGTAGTGCGCTAAAATGAGAATAGCAATGTGATAACTTACAGGTTTTGAGAATAGCTTCACTCGCGAAAAATGTGATTTATAACTTTACCTTATGAAAAATATATTTCGTAGGTTGCAAATGGATGATAAATATCCATACCATGTATAAATATCCAAACAACTGAACTGTTGAACACAACATACGTTCGCTACAAGTGATGGTCGATGAACTTAACCAAAAAGGATCATCTATCTGACTACACCGCATTTATTTCCGACCAGATGAGAACAACCTAGGTTAAACGCCATGAGATGTTTCGGGGATGCCACGTTTTTGGAGTCATATGTTATCTCTCTCTAATTTTTTTATTCGCTTTGTATTTGTTCACCTTATACTGGGTGGCCGATATGTAACTGACTGGTTTGTATCTTGAATATTTGTGAAATGAAATAAAATACGTCCATTTTTTTCGTCTTAATCTTTTATTGAAACTTGGAAATTATGTATGAAAAATAGTATCAGACAAATGTCCGCCTCAATATTGATTATATTTTTCTTCACTTTTTGGTAGGTTTCGAGACGAATATTTCCAATCGCTTCCGTGATATTGTTCCTCAGCTGCTCTACAGTATTTTGTTTGTTGGCGTAATATATATTTGAAAAATCCCCATAAAAAAAGTCAGGAGCTGTAAATCCGGCGACCTTGATGGCCAGGTGACATCACCAAATCGATAAATTAAACGCCCCCCGTGTGACACGTTGCTCCGTCCTGCTGGAACCACGTGTTATGCAGATTAAATTGTTGGATTTGAGGAGCCAGAAAATTTTGCACCATATCACGGTAGCGCTCGCCAGAGTTTTTATGAAAATGCTTGTTTTCAAAAGTGACACAATTTAGGTCGAATGACGATATGATTGCGTAGTGAGGACATGTGAATATGCATTATATAGTCTTGTTAATGTATTGTGACTCATGCAGTCTACAAATTACCGGTAGGAGTCTCGGTAGCTCGGTGGTTAAGAGGATCGAGCTACCAACCCGGGGGTCGCGGGTTGGAATCTCCGCTTCGAAGTTATTTTTGTGGCACGGATGATGTGTTGTGGTTCGTCTATACGCACCTAGGGTGATATCGTCAGTCATTCGCACAAATGCTAGAACGCCTTTATGGCCTCCTTGATTCATATGATCTGTTATATCAGCCTGAAATTTCTTGCAATTCAAAAATAAGACATAGCCTTATAACAGGAGAGCGCTGACGGTGACATGAAACAGTAGCAATCTAGAAATACCCCAGCGTTTCTGAAGGAGAGACAAGACTATGATTCAAGGTGGCCATAAAGGCATCCTACAATAATTGTAGGAAAGACTGACGATATGGCCATTAGGCATTAGGCAGAGGAAGTAAGACAGTCGGCCGACAGCGGCTGATGGTTCGCAGCGCGAAATACCATTGTCCAGTCGACATAGTCATAAATTTGAAACAGAAAATAAGTATTTTTATGTAAATCTGTCTAATCTGTAAATATTTATACACTTACCAATTAAAACCCGAGGGAGATTATAGGCATGATTTTACCCGCGGAAGTATACAAGGTGTTCAAAAGCTATGGATAGATCAAAATATTCCACTTTCTAGAGAAAAATGTTGGAGAAGAAAGTTATAAGGATTTCTTCAATGAAACATTGAAAACGTGAAGAGCCGGAAATTTTACGTTAAAGTATATCTTTGTCAATACCTTGACCACGATCTTCATGGGTATTTGGGGGTGTCCAGAAAGTAAACAAAGGAAAAAAATAAAAAAAAAAGTTTAGTAACAAAATTTCAAGGTTTAAAAATATTCGGGTTATGGCGATCGTGAACGTGGCAATCAAGATCATTTGATGGTCAATACTGCTTTATTCAATGAAACACCTATTTTTGACGCCGAAAATGTGAAGAGATGGAATTATGTTAAAGTATATCTTTGCTTATAAGCTTGACGATGATCTTCATCGATATGTGAGGGTGTCCAGAAAGTAAGAAAAGGACAAATAGTAGCTCGAAAAATACGTTTCATAAAGAAAACTGATTCTGCACGAGTGTAGCTTCTAGGTTACCTATTCTGTAGTAATATACCTATGCTCAAATATGAATGCAATGTGTCTGAAAATACGAAATTTAAAACAAAAAAAATCTGGATTTTTTTACTTCTAAATTCAGTTATTCTGTGTTGATAAGGAAACAAGTCAAAATACTTACGCATCAATGAAAAATCCTCCAGCATGGCTAGACAACCATCGTCCAATCCACAACCTGTGCATTATCTGTCTGATTATTTGCCAGAAAAGACATAGACACAACTCCAATCTTGTTGAAGGTAGAGTGACGCCATAAATTTTTAGACAACGCAGTAATTCTTGTTTTGCTCTCAATTTGTCTCCCTGAAATAAATGAACATCATTTAAATTTAGAAAAACCGCCTATATCCAAAATCACGTAAGTATTATATTACCATGGTGTAAGACAGTATTACCTGGTTCAAAAATTGATCAGCTTGTCTTCTCCGTTTCCAAAATGTCTGGCTCTCTTTAGACTTTTGAGGTATTATTGGATCTCCATAAACGAACATTTTCACCATGCAAAATCCCAAAATTGCCAAATTGAACAGCCATAGCATCAGTGATGAAGTTAGCGACATCGTTGGTGTGGCATCTATAAACAATGATAAAGTATTTTAAAATCATTAATACTAAAGAAACGGGAGGGAATTCACTATATATGGGCGAGAGAATGAAAAAATCACTTACAATCCAAAATCCTCCTGTTGACGTAAGTAGGATCAGAGGTCTCTGACCACTTATTGTACATGAATCCAAAAGGATTGAAGGCCACCATTACCAACATAAACATGCATAGTGTGAGACGGGAACTGTCCAGCATCCCTAAAATAAATTTGGAAACTTAGCGATTCAAAATGAAAATACAATACCTTCCCCTACTCCATCTCATGAATAAAAAAATGATTGATGAGTTTTGGAGACAACAATCTAATGACGAAGTCAGCTGGAGGTGAAACTTGGACATTTTTAATGAAACCGCATATTTCTGACTCCACGTATGAAAAGAGCGGAAGATTCTGCGTCAGAAATGACCTTGATGACTGGATAACTTAGAGCTTAGCTAATTTCAAGGTCGGGGTCAAACGCAAACAAAACTTTAAAACCTTCCTCAAAATGAGCAACTTGACAATTGACGAATGTCATAGTCAAGTGTAAACATACGATTTCTTATTATCAAATGTTTAAGCTAACCAGTAAATGACCTTGAAGGTTCTGGTTAAGATCACTTCCAAACGTAATTTCTATCGCTGTTTTTTCATTGGTGGAGTCATAAAGATCCCCAGTCAACATCTTCAAGTTGAACTCTAAATAACCTTGAAGGCCATTTTCAAGTCGCCATCAGATATTTCTCCCAAAACTGCTTCTTTTTTCTTGAATATTTTTTTGCTTTTCTGAGATAGGAGGGGATAAACTTTTTGAAGATCATGTAGAAATAGTGAAAGTTATAAGTCGGTGATGCAGAATAAATGGCTTGTAATATTTTATCATTTTAGGGATTCTACATTTGACCGGGGATTTTGACGTCTCGGAAATCTCGGTTGCCAGTTGTACCAATTTTCCCTAACTTGAAGAATATGCGGCGCCATTTATTTTACACAGACTTCAAAGTATTTTTTGGGACCTTACCTCTGGTGGTTTCCATGAAATCATCATCACTATCGTCCTTGACAACCGAAAACTCAGGACTAGATGGCAGAGATTGCTGCGGAGAAAGCGAAATGTCAGAAGATGGAGGCGTGTCTTCTGGGCGATATTTTTTAGCGTCGCCTGTTATCAGCAGATCTTTAAGGGTGTTCTGTCGTGCTGCCATCTTCAAGGCCATGTTCTCTTGTTTTAGCCTTGTATTTGAGTTTTGAAGGAATTTTATGTACTCTATTGTTTTGCGAAGGATAGCAGATTTGTTCAACTGAAATTAAAGATTGGCTTAAATAAGCAAATATCGAAACAGCTTCTAAAGCATACTGGATGACTTTTAACTCTCTACAAAAGTTACTACAACCTTTGAGATTACCGGAAACCCCATCGTATCAAAAAACTTGCTTCAGGCACAGTTTGACATTAATAAGAACCTGCAATGAACTGACACCACTCATGCAATGCAAAGTCAATCTACTTGACGTTCTACTTGACGTCACTATGAGAAATACCCAACTAAAGCAGTTTCTAATAATGTAATGATTCTTGTTTAGCTGGAATGTAGCAGTCTCATATTACATCAGTTATTACTAGCACATAAAATGTATGGTCAATTGCTGAGATATAACTCCATATAAGCTGTTATAAATAATTTCCCATGTATTTTGAGGCAAATAATATAAATAAACATCACTCTATCAAGTTTTACCAACAACCAAATTTCCGCCCATATATGTTTGTCTGAAACTTATTTGTTAATGCCCGAGCAATGTGATCAGAGAAAAATCATCAAATACCTTTCAAAAATTTCATTTTTGAAATAACTTCTATTGTCACTACACAGTAAAACCTTGATGAAGCAAACATCACGAATGAGATGAAGGAAACTAGCTACCTGATCAATAATGGTAGTTTTATTATAGGAACAATAAATTGAACAAGTAATCAAAGGTTAATTGTGGGTTTACATGTCATGAAACCTGACCTTTGCAGTTAATATGCTATATTGGGCTATTATTGTGAATGTATATATCTGCTTAATTCAGCAGAACATTTATATGCTCCTGAAAAAAGTACAGATATCTCAAGCAAATGACGAATAATCAAACCAGATCTTTTTGTAAATCTAAACCTCCATATATAAATATATATATATATATATATATATACATATATACATTATTGAAGAAAGGTATAAAACTATGTATGATGTATGTGAATCAAGTGATGAGACTGATTTTTTATATTTTTATTCAAATGTAGTTACAATTAAAGAGACGGTCCTTCCACTCCTCATAGCAGTGCTGGAACTCCGATACTAGAATAGCCTTCGGTTGGTCAGTTACAACTGTTTGAATGTGACAACTGTCTCAAACTGAGTTCCCTCGAGGTGATTTTTTAACTTCATGAAGAGTAAAAAGTCACAAGGACTCAAGTCAGGCGAATAAGGAGGCTGAGGAACCCCAGGTATGTTTTACTGGCCAAAAACTCGTTTATTGATGTAAGACAAGGAGGACTATCGTGATGCAACATCCATATCTTCTTGATCTGCTGAATGGTGATGTGAGTCAAATTGAACTCTTCCCCGACCATGCCGAGTGTCAACCGACGATGTGAAAGCACAAGATCCCGGATTCTGGCGATATTTACCTCGGTTCTTCGTGGTTCATCTCCAATCGACTCATCTTGCTTCTGAAAATGCCTTAATCACCGAAACACCGGGGCTCTTAACAAAACACTATCTTCGTAGGCCTGTCGAAGTTTACCAAGAGTTTCCGTTGCAGTGTGCCCAATTCTGAAGCAAAACCAGGGGCTTTGCTAGATAATCTTCACATCTGATGATTCTGATCTTCTATATTCAAATTATCATGGCAGTGTCAAAATTATCATAGCTAATCAAGTATATCGTCACAAGGCGCCATCGAAATCAATTTCAACAGTCGAAACTCATTTAGAATCAAACCCCTGGTTAATCTCATTTTTAGAACACAATAGAAAAAAATGTTTAGCAAAAAATCGCTACGGACAACCAAATGACTCGAGTTTAAACTTCTGTTGAATGTTGATCACATGTTCCCTTGTCTTCCTTTCAAGCCCGGCACCTCCAGTGTTGCCAGATCAAATGCTACGTTGTCAGTCTCATCACTTAATTTACAGACCTTGTATTATGAGGCTAGGTAATACATAACAAAGTAGGTGTGTACCAAGTTTTGTTAGAATTAAAATAAATACATCATAATGTAACAAAAAAAATAATACATACAATAAGTACATGCATATAGACACAATTGGTGCATCCAAGAAATGGTAGCCCTGAAGTCTCAATTGGACACTGACAAATGAAATTCGATATGAGATGGACTTTGACTGTAAGTACTTCAGCTCTGCTGTTTCCTAAATGCATCTATTACAGAAATATAATAGTATGCTAGTCATTCAAAAGTAAAATAACATTCAAGCTTCAATTTTCCTACCTTTGCACTCTCTCCTGCAATAATATTCTTTAGTTCAACAATTTTATCATTGATGCTTGTCCTATACTTTCTCTCAATTGCATTATGAGCACTCCTTTTCACTTCCTTCACTTTGTATTCCTTATTTCCAGGCTGCACCCTGTTTATAGGTACCTTACTCTCACTATCCAGTACTACTGGAAACCCATTTGCTGTAGTTAGGATGCCACTAGTATTCAGGATGGTATGAATTGACTGAGATGTGTTGTTTGATATGGATGTAGTATAAACTACAGCAGGTTGTGAAATCTTAGTCTGAAAAGCAAAATAGCTCTTACTTTGAAGACTTGACTGACAACATTTTAAGAATGTTCAAACTATTGCTCGTATAAAGGGAGATTGCCAGATTGGATGGAATTTTTTAAGTTAATGGAGAATCTTTGAATCACTGTGCTTAAAAGCATTCCATATATTTCCCTTGAGATTCACATGCTTATTGGGAGTCCATAATTTAATGTAACATGTGAAACCTACCCTACAGTTTTCATGCTGAAGATCCCCCATGTTTGTCTGGCTAATCAAACCATCATAATTTTCTTTATTAAATTTATATACTTTCCCAATGGTGGCTTTCTTCAGTACAATGAACTAACTTTTTTGAAAATATTTTTTAATTATCTGTCTTTCAGATGACACTTAGTTTTTTCTTCTCATTTTCACATTTCTATATGGTGTGTTACTACATCAGTCTGAAAGGTCCTGTAACATGCCGAGACTGTGTGAAGCTATCATTCCAAATTCTAAGGTGGCACCGCTCAAAATCACCATATCCCAGCCATACTTTGGTCCCAAAAGGATGTCCAGCCCTCCAAAACGACAAGCGACGATGAAGTTATCCATCGTTTTATTAATGTAATAGATACGATACCCTTGCCCATCGTTTCGAAAACGTCAAATGTCCTCCAAAAAAATACGTCAGCCCACGAAGAACTACTGTCGGATCTGAAACGTGAGAAATAGTACCTCGCGATCTCAAGGTCAAACTATTATGTCCTATTTTTTCTGGCAAGACAATCAACATGGTTCCCGTTGAATGTCAATGTACTATTTCTCGCGTTTCAGATCATAAACAATGCATGTAACATTTCTGTTGAAGATTGAAAGTTCCGGATGGGTTTTCGCGTTTTTTTTTTTTTTTTTTTGAGTGCTCTTGGCGGTTTGGGAATGATGGACGAGGGTACATTAAAAAACACAGATAACCTCATGCTTGCTGTCATTTTGAAGGGCTGCATTTTTTGGGGAGCAGATACAACTACCCCAGACGATATCGTGGGATATTCAAGCTTTGCAAGGGGCCATCTTATAATTTGAAATGATAGCTTTGCACAAACTCAGCAGCATCTTTCATAATGTTGTAGAACACACTGTATACGAATGTGAAATCGAATAGAAAAATAAATAAGTAGTCTAATCATATTAGCAAATTTCCCCGAAATAAATGTAAAGGCTGGTTTTATTGCTGAAAGTTGTTTAAGGGCATATTTAAAACATTGATGCATAAAATGGGTTCACCAATTTTTGTAGGAAACTTTTTATTTGACAACAAATAATGAGAAAACGTGTTTTTTTGGGATTTAATCGAAAGTGTTGACAGGAACGAAAATCCATTTCATATAAGATTTTTAGGTATTTATGAGACCTACAAAATAAGACCACTCGTGAAAAGATCCGAGTAATAGCAAAAATGTTATGACCGAAAAGTGGGGCAAAATGCAGGGTTTGGCACTTGTTGGTAACGCGACGACAATTTCACGCATCTACTTGAAATTCTTGAAATCCATAGGATTCATACTTTTAAATAACAATAAAATTGGATTATATTGGTCAAGTAGTTTTATGACAATTTCTAATTGTTTATCCCAAAACAAGGTCTCATAAATACCTAAAAATCTTATATGAAGAGTTTTTTCGTTCCTGCCGACACTTTTGACACAAAAATTGGTGTACCCATTTAATGCCTCCATGTTTTAAATACCCCCTTAAACAACTTGCCGCAACAAAACCAGATTTTACAATTATTTCGCAAACCAGGGATATTTTCATCTAATATGATTAGACTAAAGTATTACCTGGAAGACAGATACATAAAATATGGTGTCAAAATCTGTCAATTCTACTGACGGCCAACATTGGGTCGAAAACATACGTGTGGTTTTGGTAGACTAGACAAACATGTGTGATTCATCATAAATAGGTTTCATATTTGATAAAATTTGTCCCCTCTCCACTTTCCATTAGGCTCCTTACCACTCCATCTGTATGGGAGAAGAGTTATTATCGCCCACTTTAGGAAAGACTCAAGTAGACAATAAAAAAGGGGATGAAAGAGAGGGGAAAGGAATTAATAAATAAGCAGAAAAGCTTGTCAATCTGGGATTACTGTGTCCAAATCATACAAAATTGTGTCCTACTGCCTTGAAATTTTACCATAAAAGTTTAAGAAGCCATACCTGATTATCAGTTTTCAAAATCTTTGCTTGTAAAAGCACTGGTTGAATATGGTCAGCTGATATCTGCTGAAGATTCTGCACAAATACTTGTCTACCCTGCTTCTGTGGCATAAGTACCTGCTGATTCTGTAGAGGCAATGAGGCATAAACAAGAGGTTGTGAGTTTTGTTGAAAACTTGGGGATGATATAATCATGGTAGGACTCTGAATTGGCACCACATTCTTTACTTGAACATTTTGCAAATTATGTACGGGAGAACCATCTTTTGATGTGGTTTGAGGGATGAAAGGGTTTGCTGATGTAGTTGGCACGCTTGTGTATGGTGTGGATAATGCAGCTGTTGATTCGAAGGTTCTGGACAATGTAGGATTTGGTGCATTTTGTGTATCCATGAAAGAATCACCAAGGGCTGCTAGATCTAGAGACTCATTCAACTGAGATAAGGCATCATCCCCAAATAGCTCGCTTTTCAGCAATTCCGTTTCACAATGATCGAGGATATCTACAAAAAGTAAAAAATAAACAAATGAAATATTCTAAAGACAAAAAACAAAATTTCACCATCAATTCCGGTTAAGTCCGGCATCAGGTTGATTTCCTCCGTAGAGGAAAACCCTGGTATGTCTTTATCCATTTATTTAACAGGTCTTCAGAGTTTTCAATATTTTTAACTTTCCGAGGTACAAGAGTAGGAAAATCAGAATACAAAATTCAGCGAATCAGATAACAGGACGAGATGAGGTGATGTGTGACGTCATGCCAGAAAGGTTTTGACATATATTTTCAGGGTTGCCAGGCTTTCTGTCACTTTGGTCACCAAGTTTTGATTCGAAAATCGACAGAAATCGCCAGCACTTAAAAATGAAAAATAACTAGGATTAGGAGTATAACTGTGGTATAACCATAAAATGCCAGGTTAGAGACGTGTGAACTGTACGAAACTATAGATTGATCTTTATTCATCACATTTCAGTAAATTAATATGACAAGTCAAGCTCATTCACAGGAGGCGGATCCAGGACATTTTGAGGTAGAGGGACTTCTGAGAGCGAATCTTCTTGAGAACTTCTGAAAAATGAAAATCAGGGAGGGGAGGTTACCAACAATTGAAAATTGAAGAGCGAGGGAACAAGAATTTTCTGCGCACATAGCACTTACCTTTTCCTAGTAGTGTTTGGGGATCTCTCTCCCGGTTATCGTACAAAATCTTATATCTAGCAACACTGTGCCAAAAGTGTTATATTTTTTTTATTTATATGCTTTGGGACTGTGGTCCATGCAGCCAAAGTGTTAGGATGACATTTAGTTGATATGCTCGGAAGTTAGGAGCACGATACCCTGACATGACATTTGACCTTAAACGTCGTTGTGCTTAGAGCACAGAACCTCCGCTGGTCCTCGTTTCTCGTTTCATATTCCATTAGCCCATACATAAATCCGCAAAAAATGTCAGTAATGTTATAAATCGCCAAATATTAAAAAAATTGCTGGATACTGGGCGCCACGGAAGTAGCCGATCGCCAAGCTGTCAATTTTAGTCGTCTTTGAAGCCGTCAAATCACCACCTTGGAGAAGAATCGCCACTCTTGGCAACCCTGTTTATTTTTTAATTGAAAATTTTAAACTCTGTCTAGGTATGATCAAAGATCAAATATGCTTCAGATGGCACAAGTCAAATTCGCTGACTTGCCATCTACTGTCATAACTTAGAAATACTAGTTGTTCTAATTATCAAGCCATCAGGGGATTCTTTTTTATATTTTATCGTTCAGCTAGCCTCTAATAGATGGCAACGCATTGACAAATCTTATGTGGTGCCATCTATTGTTGCACTATATAAATATATTTCATTATTCGTTCTATAGTAGACATCTGTTTTATCAATATATCAGAATTAACCTCGGATACACTAGATGGCGAAGGATATTGATAGAGTGTAAAAAACTAAAGAAAAGAAGCCAGAGGGCTTCAAAAAGTCAAAGATAAAAAGCGTTCGGTCAGTGGGGAGTATTTTGATTTCAGTTTAAAATACTACCCTGATAATTAACAGAAGTAGTTAGCAAAGGAGAGTTGAGAACGTCCGTAAAGTACTGACGGCGCTCAGTTTTATGTGCTCAGAGGTTAAAGTTACACAGGCGGCCACCGATCAGAAGCATGGAAGGAGGCAGTGCAGTCGACACGAGACACGAGCGATATCGATATAGCAGAATCACTAAATTAATACCGTATCGTGCTAAATACCCTAGCCTAGAAGTTCTCTGAGAGGGGGCTGCATGCCTTGAACAGCGTTTATGACTGTTCAGCAAATGTTTTTGTAACAATTGAAGAGGGGGGTGCAATACGTCTAGGGGGCACACATCTCACGATCCAGGTCTAGCAAGGTAAAAGGTAATTTTTACACTAAGATGCATCAATATATACCTATACCATCGTCTTGAAAAAAAATGACAGACTTGTTTCTATAGTGTGGCGTTTAAACCCGCCAATGCCTGAGAGAGGAACATTCGGGGCTGCTGAAGGAGTGCGCGGTTCTAAGAGCTCAGCTATTGGAAAAAGACAAGACTATAATAGTTAAAAGCTTACCACTGAAATTAAAAACGACAAATTTGTTATCAACAGCTTATCAGCAAGTGACATTTTTGTGTTACTCTGCAACGTTGGCAATAATTAATCGGGTATGAATCTGACAAAACTTGTTTGTGGCGTTTTGTTTTTGGTCTGCAACTGAACTTTTATGAATGACAGAGCTGTTAGCAAGTACCATATGGATCTGAAACGTACAAAAAAACAAAACAAAATACGGCTCTGACTACCTGGCGTTGACGGATCCGTCAGAATTATGTGTCCTGTAGCGATAAGGGGAATTTTGAGATTTTACTAGATAATCAGCTGTCAATCTACCGTGATGGATACTCGTGAAATAGAGTATATGTCCTCGTCTGCCTCCTTTGCGGAGGGAGAACATTATTTGTCGAGCCTCCTGAACGTGATATGGATCCAACACCGCAGCCCGACTTGGACTCTGAATGAAAATGTCTGTCCAGAAGCCAGAGAAAAAATAAATTAAGGAAAATTAATAATACTAACCAATTTCGAATTCCGCTTGACCCAACCCATCAACCATCGAACCATCACATCGATATCAGCATTAGAAGAAAAAAGGGCCTGAAAATTCACACCCAACCTCTGGGGTACCTTTTGTATCGCCAGTGCATGCAAATTCTGTCATGAAGGCATGCTCGGTGTTGAGGGATCCTCAGAAATGGAACATTTCGAAAATTTCCGTAAACACGGTGATTGTACGCCTTTGTAGAGATATGAATATTAGTTACCACATCTCCCCTTGTCGGAGGAAAGAAATCTATACATAAACTTGCCCGGCATTCCTCCACATATGTGGATGACGACATACTTGAAAATGAAATAACGATAAACACCAGAATATTGCCGCGTATGCATCTATGTGAAGGATGAAATATTTTCTCATTTAGTGAGTTTTCCACACATCTTCATGTTATTGACAGTGTATTCCTCAAAATTAAGAATGACTCATTCAACTTAATCATGGGCTGCAATTACAGACCACGTCCATCTGTTACTGATTCAGACTTGTGTAGTTACATCGCAGATCTCACTACACAAGGAAACAACTTGTCCTTAACCGGTGGTTTTAATCTCCGCGACATTTCCTGGCCTTTGTCAAGCATAACCTAAAATGAATTCTGCATCTGTCCGTGTTCCAGAACTCTTGCGTAACTCAAGCATTATTCAGTTCGTAGATTGCCCTACACGCTACAGAAATTATCAGATACTAAGGTCCGTATCGTCAGTCGTCCCTACAATTGTAGGGCGCCTTTATGGCCTCCTTGATTGTCATAGTTTTCTACTTCTCCGTGTCAGCGCTCTATTTTTAGGTTATGTCACAAATATCTATTTGCATCAAATTGTTCATGCTTTCGGTTTATATCATTTGTTTTATCAGCCTGAAATTCCCTACAGTTCAAAAAGAAAACATATCTTCACAATAGGAGAGCGCTGACGCTAAGACGGAACAAGTGTAATCTAGAAATTTTTGAAGGAGAGAAAGGAGTATGACAATCAAGGAGGCCATAAACGCGCCCTACAATTGTAGGGACGACTGACGATACGGGCCTAAGAACCCTTGACCTCATATTCGTTAATAATGCTGATTTTGTATCAACTTTTGAATACTTTCCTCCATTTGGTAAATCTGATGCCTTACTATAAAGGCAAACCTTCAATTCAACTAGTCTAAACAAATCCCCAGAATCCAAAAGACAATCAGACGCATCAACTATGCACAGCTGAATGCAGATCTCGGGACCAGACTGAAATTCCTTATTGAATGGACTCTCCAATCAAGCCATGTGGGATTGATTTCATGAAAGGCTTCAGGCGCTGCTCGCAAAACTTTCAACTTATCGTAGAATCCGATACAATCTCTTAAAACAGTGGATTGATCGCGATATCCTTGAGAGGATACGTCACAAAAAAATCGTTATGGCAGAAATATCTACGGCATAAAAGACAATCCGACTACATCAATCATCAAAACTTCTCCAACAAACTTTCGGAGACTCTGAAAGTTGCAAAACGTCAATTTGAAAATAAGCTGGTATCATCGAAAAACAGAAAAAAACTATTGGCCAACGCATTCGCTGAAGACTTTTCTGCGGAAAGTGATTGTATACCCATCCTAGACCACATGCCAGCCTGTGTCAAATTGAATTCTCCCCTGGCGTGATTCAAGATCATCTCATCAATCTGGATTGCTGTACTGCTCCAGGCGGTGACAATATTTCAGCAATGACCCTGAAAAGATGTGCCGCTACTCTTGCCTCACCTTTAAATATGATATTTACCTTCTCATTCATTACGTCAATGCTGGCATGAATAGTTACGCCAATTTTCAAGAAAGGTGATAAGTACAATGCAAAAAACTATCGTCCCATCAGTCACTCTCACACGATTGCTAAAGTAGACGAAAAAATCATACTTGATGAAATGTTCAATTTTGCTACCGAAAATAATATCTTACCAGCCAGTCAACATGGTTTTTTACCAGGTCGCTTTTCACAAACCTGCTCAACTGCGTCAACGAATGAACTAGTATGATAGATGTCAACATGCCTGTAAATGTAATCTACCTAGATTTTTCGAGAGCGTTCGATGGAGTACCACACGCACACCTTCTGTACAAGCTGGAACACCTTGGAATAACTTGAGATCTGTTGAAGTGGATAAGGGCTTTCCTTCGTAACAGAGAGTTCACGGTGAGGGTAGGCGATTCACTGTCAACCAGTAGGGCGGAGACTATCAGCGTTCCCCAGAGTTCCCTTGGGACCTTTGCTGTTTCTCCACTACACGTTGGACCTGGCTTGTGCCATATCTTCCACCTGCGCCTTGCATGCTGACGACACAAAGATATACGATATCACACAACGTTTATGAATGATCCAGAAGATGGCTACTGCCCCTGAGCTTGGAGAAGTGCTGTGTTCTACACGTTCCAAAGATCAATTACAACGTCGCGAACCAGGAAATTCCCTCTGCCTCCAGTCACATAGATTTAGAAGTTGTTGTTACTCTATCATGGTCCGAGCATACTCAATTCTCAACGACTAAGGCCAAAAGGCCAAATGTTCAATTTCTTACCTTTGTTTGGAGTTTATCTTCAATCAACTCCTGTATTAGGTATATAATATATGTAATATAATAATAATAATAATGCAATGAACAGTAGTTATCTATATATGCAGTTCTCA